ATGAACATAAAATTAAACATATAAATGGTTTATTTGCCAAATAAAAAAACAACGATTTTTAGTTTCAAATGAGTTTTTGACAAATTTTTTGAATACTTGTGTTTTCTTGTTTTTGCGATAAGTACTCTACTACATTTGTTAAGCACTGTATTTGCTCTAGTGCAGATGTAGCCTTTGATAAATTGTGTGCCTACCTCCTGGATCGTGTTCTTCATTTGGATAGATGTTTGTTTGGATGAGGTCATTTTTAATCATTTAAAGGATTCAGTGATGAACCACCTCTCTGCCTTTTAATGTGGCTGAATTCACCGGTGATCATTCTTTGTTTGGTTTTTTTTATCAGAACTAACTGAACTGTTTGTCTGGCCACATTGGTTGTTCTTGTTTCTCTGTAGCAGACTTGTTTTATTTTTGCATTTTTGGACAGCCTGTTTTACTTGAGAGCTATTTTGGCCAAATGTTACAGACTTCATAGCCACAGCTTCCAAATGCAAATGTGAAACTTCTTATCGTCACCATCTTTTGTATTCTCTTGTGAAGAAAGAGTGAAGGAACATTTCAACCTCTGCAGTCCCTGAAAGTTTATCCAATTTCTTACATTAAAACTGAAATTATTTAGGCACATAATTATCTTCCTATAACTCTAACTTGAATGGATTTTGGCAGTCTAGAGTGACTGAAAAGAAATGTGACAGTATAATAACATATGAGCCTCCTTGTAACCCAAAGCTAAAATACTAACATAACCCAAACAAGATGAAAGGACCCACAATTTTTGCACCAGCTTTTGAGAACACTTTGTGCTGTTTTTACAGGTGTTGTTTATCTCTCTTGACGCAGGTGACAAATGCAAAAAAGGAAACATCTCTCAAGTGGTTTAAGGATGGTTTGGAGGTGACTCAGGTTGCATATGATCCATCAACAGGGGTCAGCGTGCTTACTATCCCACAGGTATGCATAATGATTGTGTCCTGTTCTATTTTCAGATAAGGCAAGTATGAATCATCACACTGTAGCTGATGTAGAGAGCGAAAGGAGATAAACAGAGTGACAGCTGACATTTATAGGATTAAGTCTACATGAGTCTTAACCTTGAGATGAATCAAGATTCACCTTGAAGTGAGCCTTGCCCTGGAAATGCCTCTTAATCAAATATTTGGTTCTCACAGATATCACATACTAAATGGTGAATGTTCTGAATATGTTTAACTTTTACACAGTAGATGATTTTTCCCCCCCCTCAGGTTACAAAGAAAGAGGCAGGCTCGTACAGAGCTGTGGTGTCAGACGGGAGAGGAGAAGATGTGAGCACCTTGGACTTGCTGGATGAAGGTGATACTTGATTTTCTAGCCAAACAAATATTACTGCTTTTTGTGTTATTTGATTTATCATGGAAATTAGTCATTTAAAATAAAATATAAAAATCTATTTGAATATGGATGATTGTTTTTTTTAATTTGCAGAGTATGACAAGCTTCTCCAGCACCTGAGTAAACAGTGCGGTAAGTGACACGTATTCAGAAGAACAATCTTGGTGAAATGTGCCAATGGCTTGTTTTCTACATCAGGTGAGCTGTGTCGGGATGGGGATAATACACCTGAAAGCCATGTTGATTAGCTGTTCCGTGCCCAGAATATTACTGTGCCGAGCACCCCAGATAACAAACACTTTGTTTTGAATTGCTAAAATATATCCAAAATGTGCTATTATATTAATCGAGAGTCCCACCCCCATATAGCGATATCAGCCAGCTCACTGAAGATTCAGAGCACCGGTGAAGGCTTCAAGCTCTACTGCTCACTTAAATACTACATAAGCTTCCTGAAGACCAGCTGGTACTTCAAGTGAGTTCACAAAGAGAACACTTCTCTGATCTAACATCCAATACCTGCTTCAGACATATAACTATTTTAAATAGTTATATGTCTATTTTAAATTAAATTATATATATATATATATATATATATATATATATATATATATATATATATATATATATATATGTATATATATAATTTAATTTAAAATATATATATATATATATATGTATATGTGTATATATATGTATATATATATATATATATATATATGTATATGTGTGTGTGTGTATATATGTGTGTGTGTATGTATAATGAAGTAATTTTAATCTAAAATAAGATGAATCTTCTTCCTAAATCCCAGAATTTGATACTTTCTCTATACATCTCTATATATATCTATCCTGCACATCAATAGCAAAGCAGTAAAAGGAAACAAGTTGCTCTATTAACCTCTGTTTATGCCATAAATACATTTTCAATGTAATGGATTGTAATAGTTGTACGTTGTAATGGAGAACTGTGATATTAGTACCGCTGTCCGAGTACTTCATCTACCACTGCGTGATAATTTACCTCAACACTTGTTTTTATGGGAAAGTCTGAGGCTGCTTCCCTTACATGAACAGGCTGTAAAACGTCTAATAAAGTTCAACAGCTACATGTTAAAGACCTAAAAATAAAAGAGCCTTGATGTCTTTGATGTGTACATGCAAATCTGCACACTAAAATATCCTATTCATCCTCCTCATATGCTTTACAAAGAACATAGCCTGGAAACAGCCTTCAAATTCTTAAACTGCTAGCACCCCCTGCTGGATCATTCAATGATAACAGCAAATGATAATATTTTAAAGGCTCCTTAACGCCATTCCATTTTTCATTAGTTTCTTTGCACTAATCAGTGCTAAAAATGCTTTAGCTGTGATGTAAAGGAAATCATTTCTCACTGGCTGCCACACTGATCTAACATAACTGTATTATATAGTAAGTTTAATATACGGCAGTACATAACTGTGTACATGCTCTTCTCCATGCTTAGAGAGAAGAGGATTGACGAGGAAGCCAGAACAAAGCCTGGCAGCAGCATGCAGAAGGTTTGGATTGAAATCTTCAACCCAACAGAGAGCGATAAAGGAAAATACACATTGGAGATGTTTGATGGCAAAGAGACACACAAACGGTTTCTTGACCTGTCGGGAAAAGGTGAGTGCAAATGTCATTTTAGTTTAAAGGTTTTAGATTGTGAGATCGTTTTTTCCCCAGATTTTTTATTGTGATTATTTTTCAAACATCCAACAGCTTTTGATGACGCTCTGTTGGAGCACCAGAGGTTAAAGTAAGTGCTACACCCAATGCACTGGATGAGATATCTAGGCTTTTACTGACACTGACAGAACAGTTTTCCAAAAGACAGAGGTTTTACTTGAAAACAGATTATCGTTTCCTGACACTGTGCAGTTCATTTTGATCTAACCCTTTTTTCTCATCCCTCAGGCAGCTGGCCATTGCAGAGAAAAGTGAGTGATAGGTTATGTGTTAATCCCAGGACATTTCTTTCCGTGGCAAAGATTAAAAGATTCTATATCATATGCCAGCAGAGAGTTATTTTTGCCTTTTTGTTTCAGATCGGGCTAAAGTGACAAAAGGCCTTCCTGATGTGGTAGCCATTATGGAGGGCAAGGTACAATAACTGTTTAAATCTTGCATATGTGCTTCTCTCTGTGACCTGCCATTTCATATCTTGTTTGCTCCTTCTCTTCAGTCTCTGTGTCTGACGTGCTACATTGATGGCGAACCAGCCCCAGAGATTTTCTGGCTTCGTAACGATAGGGAGATATTCAGCCAGGATCACTTTACAATCACTAAGGCGCCCAAGTGCAGTAGCATCACTATAAACAATGTCAACATGGAAGATTCTGGAAAGTACAGCATCTTTGTACGCAACAAGTACGGCTCTGAAACGGTTGACGTGACCGTGAGTGTTTACAAGCATGGGGAGAAACCTCCAGCTAATGCAGTAGAGTTGAGTTAGGACTCCAAACTGAGTCAAAAATCGATATTTCTGCAGGGAGTGAGGGTTTACCAAGATCTGCGCACATGTTACTTTTGAGAATTTCCTGCAAACAAACCACAGTATCCTCTACACCAGGATTTGCTTCTACTTTATTTGATGTGTCTAGTATTTTGCTTAATGAAACTCTTTTTGGCTGATTATCTTATAAAATACCACTATAGTAGCCAGTGTTCTGCAGTAAACAATGGTAGCATTTTCTGTAAGCAATTAGATACATATAGATATGATATGTAATTGACATTACAGAGCTAGTTTGCTGGCTTTTACTTGCTCCACTAGCACTGAATTTGGACTGCATTTTGTCATTTATCTGCTTTTGGTCATGCTGACAGTTTCAACAAGTCTCGCTTTAAGTGCTTTTGAAAAACCCTAAACTCTGATCTTAGTTTCCGTTGAAGCAGATTTGTATTTTGTGTGTGTGTGTGTGTGTGTGTGTGTGTGTGTAGTGAATAAAGGGATTTACAGCAATTTTTCTCTAGTGGATTACTTCTAAAATAGATTTTGCAATGAATGATTTCTTTTCCACTCTGGAAGCAAACAGTCCGCAGTGTCATTAACCTTTCTACTTTACCTCAGAGTGGTAGATTTACATTAGCAGGCTGGAGACGTGAATGAGGTTCAGTTAAGGTCTGCATATTAGTCATGTTTATGAAATGCTTTCATTTAGCATTTTCTTCTTTTCATCCTTAAACTCCTCTACAATTTGATATCCTTCTGATAAAAGGTTCGATTCTTTGTTTGTGTGCTCTTTTGCTGATTCAGATCCTTTGTCATAAATTGCAAGTGGAGCCTCAAAGAAGAATAGCTGTTCCTTTATAATACTAATGAGGATCAAAATAGTCAAGCTGTGAAATAGGCTGGCATGCATTTTACTGCTAAGTCCATGTGTGATCTGCACATCTTTCACACCAGTGAAGCTCTTAAATGCTAAATTTACTGAATTTACTAAATTTACCAATATGAATTGACCTTTGGTGAACGCTGTGTCGCCACATAGGTATAAATGAACTCCAGGTTATTCAAACATGTGATTACTTCAGAGGACATTGTTACTCATTAGACATAGCACTGGGAGCCCTATACCGTCAAGTATAAGAAGGTGGGGCATACGCTAGCAATCTCCACATTGTGTTGAGCTTCACACAGCTGCCTCAGCCTCCCGCCACCTCAGTGAAGGAGAAGCCAGACCTAAACAACATGGACTTCAGTGGAACGTGGCAGGTCTATGCTCAGGAGAACTATGAGGAGTTCCTCAGGGCCATGGGTGAGAAAAAAGCTGGGCGGTAAAGAAAAAAATCGATTATTTTCAGTAGCTGAAGTTGTAGGTTATTGTGCATAAATTAACAATATACATGTGTTCTGCTTAACAGAGCTCCCAGAAGATGTCATCAAAGTGGCCAAGGACGTCAAGCCAATCACTGAGATCAAGCAGAGTGGCAATGACTTTGTCATCACCTCCAAGACTCCCGGAAAGTCCGTGACCAACTCGTTTACCATCGGCAAGGAGGCTGATATCACCACCATGGACGGCAAGAAGATCAAGGTTACTCATTTTTATTTAACTTCTTTTTTTATATGAAATATTATCCTGAATGCTAATTTACTTCAGGATGATGCAACTTTTGAGAGACTAAAAAAATGCTGCATTCTCTTTATTCGTGAATCATACTCATATTTAGTAAACTGCCCCATTTTGTGTTATGGCAACAGTACCACTGTTAAATTGGTCACTTATTGCTGCATCTGCTGCTTCTGTTTGACTAAAGTTCGGCCATCTGTGTCTAAGAATACTCCTCTTCCTACTGGAAAAGTAAAGTAAAATAAAATGACATGTTAGTGGGCCTGAAGATGTGAAGGGTTTAAATTCATTTTCTTGTCTGTTTTGAGGGTTTCTTTATGTGTATTGTCTCTTCCACTTCTCTGCAGTGCATTGTCAATATTGAGGGCGGCAAACTGGTCTGCAAAACTGACAGGCTCCGCCACGTCCAAGAGCTCAAAGGAGGAGAGATAATTGAGGTAAAGTCCACCTTACCAGAATTCAGACAGTAGCAGCATCAAAAACCAAACAAACTATTTGCTGGATTATAATCTTAATATTGTCTGTAATTTAAAAGTGTTTTCTTTTCTTTATCCAATTTCAGACTTTGACCACTGGGTCGACAACTCTCATCAGAAAGAGCAAACGGATATAAACTTGGCAGCGAAGAAAGCAGTGTCTATTTAAATAAAAGTGTTGATTAAAAAGAGCAGCGTGTGTCATATTTCTGTCCCCTTATATTTGCAATGGTCTTAATAAGGTCATTGCTTTGTGAGGCCTTTTTTCTGTGTCTAACGTGTTTTATAAAATATTAACTAGGTAAACAAAAGATATCCATGCAAAGAAGCATTTGATAAAAGTTGTGTTTGCCATGTCGGCTATATTGAGAAATGTGCTTGTGGCTTGACGTCCACACCATCCTCTAGTGGACTAGTGGGTCTAATGCACGCTATGCCGTGATACTGGTTTGGATAGTTCTGGGGGCTTGAGCAGGCATAAATCAGTTTCTATGGTCAGTGTGGGGATTTGGCTTCTGTTTGATGAAATAAAAAAGTAATTATAAGTCAGGAAAGGTTAAGGTGAAAACTTAAGGAAGCGTTAAGCTTATAAGGTTATTTTAGGGAAATTTTGGCAAATATTTTAAAACATTAACTTTTAGGGAATTACATTTAATTTCAGGACTCTGTGATTGCCATATGTTTCTCTTATAATCACAGACAGTATGAAACAGATTTGTCACACATAAGGTCAGATTTTAGACTTTTAACTGTATTACATTTCCTGCTGATGAGGACCCTCCCTTTGGCCATTCACAATAATAACGTAATGAAATAATAGATCAACAATTAAATGGCAGTTATATACCATAGGAATTTCTGTGGATTCAAAAGACATTGAATTAACAAAAACTTTATAACTACATGACAGTCTCAGTAATGAACTAAATATTTTTCTTTAATTTTGCACATTTAAGTCTTCCAGTCGTGCTGACAAACTTATTTCGTTTGCTACTTAATTGTAATGCAATTAAACCTCTTTACATTCACAGGAAGAGGGAGTTTCACTGATCCAATTATGCTCAAAGTAGCCTATATGTGGTCCACAATGTAAACTGTCAGTTTGACATCCCTGTCTGAGGTCTGAGAAAGAGAGAGCAAGAGAGACCGTCGTGTTTTACTTCTAGGCATGCGCAGTGCCGAGAGAGCGCTCTGACTGACCACGTAGCCTGTCTCAGCTGCGGTACAGATAGCTGCAATACACGAATTCACGGCCTCTCTACAGTAGCAACGGGCCGCTGAAAAATGGCGAGATACCTGAGGCCTCCGAATACATCTCTTTTTGTCCGAAATATCGCCGACGAGTCCAGGTACGTTGTTACTTTCAACCCCGCCGGCGTGCAAGCAGGCATGGTCAGGCTAAATGTGACGCTAGTTAGTTAGCAAACATGTCAACGTGATGTCATCATCAAAATTAGGAAACTGACGTTAACGGTCAGAGAGCGACTCCGGACAGAGAAGCTGGCTACGGACAACACAACCGTGTAATATTTGGTAATACTTAGAAATAAGAAGCTGAAACATTCGTGTTGTTACTGAAGTTAACGCTACACCCTGACCTGTCTGAGGGGACAAAAAAAATAAACGACTGAAATACGTCTTTGAAACTGAACTAAAGGCTGGACAGCAGCAGTTCCTGCAAGTAAACTACAATATCTGTAGTTTACGCACTTTTGCACTATGCACTTTTTAATTATGGAATTTAATTTTATGTCCTTCCTATCATTAAAAAAATAATTAAAAATATTAAGGCAACACTTGAACATTACAGCCAATTAAAACTTCGGGCATATAAATAGTGAATTCATTTTATCTGCTTTGGTGCACGTGAAAGTGATAACAGGTGGATTGGAGAGGCAACAATACGACAGAATGGGTTTTGAAGGTGGTGGCCACAGACCGTTGCTCTCTCTATATCCCCTCTCACTTATTTTCTTGTTTTACTTTTTGCTGGTGCCCATGTCATTGCTGACATCATAAGACTGTGGTCCATTCGAGTTACAGAGATAGTCCACCTCTTACAGGATTGCACATCTTTAAGCCCTGTCACGAGGTTTGATTTGTCTCCCAGCACAGGCTTAAGACAGTGGAAGGGATCTCAATGCACTTCAAGGTGCTCTGTTTTCAAATTAAGTTCAAAAGGCCTTTATCCTCAGGGCATGGCTGTTTAAGCTTAAACAAAAAGTTCAGGCACTTGCTTGACTGTGCTATGAGAGTAAAGGCATTTTAAATTTTATTTTAAACAGAATGTCTTTTGAGTGTTTTGAAATTTTAGCCAATGCGTATCCTTTCCAAAGAGTCCCTCAAATAGAATTGGTATTATTCTGACTGAATAACAGTCAGGAGTGCTGACTGACTCCACAAGACTGTTGAGGCGATCCCAGAAGACAGCCCATTCCTTCAGGGGAGTTTCACGGGGCCATAGAAGGGAATTGACCCAGCAAAAGGACCAGTATCTGCTCCTTTGTGTGAAGATGAACAGAGCCTTGCTCATGTGTGTGTTTCTGACCAAAGACTATGTAGGGCATCCTTTAGTAAGACATGTGCTCACATGCCATACACTGTGTTTGGCATTACCAGACAACACTTAGAACTAGCCCGTTGTCTTCACGGATGCAAGTCCACAGTGAGTACATGTGCCTGGTGTGAGCGAGCCTGGAGATGCCATGACGAATGTCATGATGCCAGCTACAACACTGGCACCAAATCAGGTCAAATGGATTCACAATGGGTTATGCTTCCTAACTGGGGACATTGGTATCCCTAAGGTGTAACTGCCTTTGTGCTACATTGTTTCTGCTGCCAAGATTAAAATAAAAAATGTATTTGGAAATTAGCGTAATGAGTTCTGTTTGATAATCTAGAGGCCTAAATGTGAATAGTATGACTTAAAGTACTTATTATTAAAGATAATAAGTAGATTTTTAAGTGTGGTTGATTTCACAAAATAAAAAAATCACTTCTGTGAAAAGTGCCATATATGGGTTTTATGGCCGCAATGAATATGTGAAAAAGACAGTTTCTGGTTAAATTGCACAAATTCACCTTAAATGTCCTGATGAGGAAACTTCCTTATGAGTAAGAAAGTAATTCGGTTTATTTGCTGTTAAGCAATGTCCGATGCTTTGCTGGCGCCAACTCTTGTGTATGTGCTGCACACTGGACTCGAGCCAAATTCATATGGTAGCCAGCAGAATAAATGTGCTTATTTCATGACACTTTAGGCCAGAGGATTTACGGCGTGAGTTTGGTCGTTATGGGCCTATTGTAGATGTCTACATTCCACTTGACTTCTATACACGACGACCAAGAGGATTTGCTTACATTCAATATCCTTTATTCTTTCAGTTTATGTTTGTACTTTTTCACTAATGGATTGTAAAGCATCAACTCTGATCTGTTGGGTGCAGTGAATTGAGTAACACCTGATTTAATATTTCCCTTTTAAGAGGAGTTTTTGTAATGTAATTGATTTTTTTGTTTGTTTTTTTAATGCTTCTAGCATTAAATATACTCCTAACCAATATTTCTTCTGTTGTTGCCTCAGAATGGTAAAGATACAGGTATGGAGACCCCACACCAAAGAAAGTTGAAAGGCGGTTGTAGAGTAGATTCAAGCCAAAGACATCCAGGCGACAAGCAGTAGTGGAATTTGGAAAATAAAGACAGAGCAAAAGCATGAAGATACAAAGAGGACAAAAAAGAGCTTCCAGGCTTCCATTTGTCTACCAAAGGGAGGAAAAGAAAAGTGTTTATTGGGCAAAGACAAGCAGGAAACCTCAAGTTCTTCTGCCAAGGCTATAAAGATCAAGCTGAAGGTCAAGCATGTTAAAGGTAACAAGCCAGACTTTTTGTATCCTACCCAATCTGATCACCATTAGTATTTGTCTTGTCTTCACAATTTGAAGTCACAAATGGGCCTATTTTTAATGTTACATAATTTGAGTTGGTATTACGGAAGACGGTCAATTATAAATGAAAGAAATATGCTGAGATGATGAATTACTCTTATACATTTTTGGCCTCACTGATCCAGTAGCTGTGTGGTGTTTTTTTTTTTGTGTGTTTGCTTTTTATTTTACTTGTGTTGCAGCTGCTTGCTGTTTTTTTTTTTTTTATTATTATTGCATGCGTGCAGCTTTCAGCTCCACCTTTCCAAATTAAAAGTCCTTAACAATCCAGCATGTTTGAAGATGTCCGGGATGCAGAAGATGCTCTTCACAACCTGGATCGTAAATGGGTTTGCGGGCGCCAGATTGAGATCCAGTTTGCACAGGGAGACCGCAAGAGTATGACCCATTGGCATTCCTACTTGAGCTTAACTGCACCATCTCCTTTTGGGAAATGTGTTGTATTGTTACATAACCTTTTGATGTGGATTTGTCAATAAAGCCCCTAATCAGATGAAGGCCAAGGAGCGCCACTCCCCTCGCAGTTTCTCTCGCTATGAGGATGATCGGGATACCCGCAGAAGACGATCACGGAGTCGCAGTTATGATCGCCGCCGGTCCCGGAGCCCTTCTTTTGACCGTCGCCCTCGGAGGTCTGAGAGCCCTAGAGAGTGAGTTCTTGGCAACTTTTACGCCTTTTAAGGAATATAAGACATTAAAGTTCACCAAAAACATAATTATATAAATGTAGTGAGTGTGAAGGAGTGCTCTATGGATGTTTGCAGCTCTGAAAGCAGGCACTTGCAAAGGAGGAGGAAAAAAGAAAGGGGAAAGATGGAGGGGCAATTTATGACTCAATAGAGTGGGGGGGGGACGTGTGTGTACATACTGGGGCTGCAACAATTCGAGTAACATGAATATAAATAAAATTCTCAATGCAAATTTTTTGCTTCACTGCTTTGTTTAAACTCTGTAGCACTCAGATGTCATTATGTAAGTGCAAGCGTTTCACACACGTTTTGTATTAAAAATAAATATGCAATAGAAATATATCTGGCGCACATGTGCAAATTAAAAAAATATTACAACATTGAGCCCAAGCAGCCCCCAATTTTTCAACAAAAAAACGGATAACACAACAGCAGCAGGGAAGATGCTGTCATAGTTTATCAGGGAGATGCCGTTTGGGTAGTTGGCACTCTGCCTCTGCTCTGTGTGGGTAGACAGTGCAGAGGCAGAGCAGTTACTGAGATGCTGAGCTCAGCTGGGGTTAAAGCAAACATTTTCTAGTGTGCAAAACAGCAGCACTTATTCCTGCAAGCATTATTAAAACCTTTATTTGGAAAAAGCTGGTGGGAGTTCTCCATCAAACCACCTGTTTAAAAGCCTTCAACGTGAAGAGAAGCAAACTCTGTAGTCATCCTCATTTTTGTTTTTTCCACAAGGAAAATCTACAGTAAAGCTACTGAAGTTAAAATATGGAGATGGGCTGTTAGCTTAGTCTGATAAGATGTTTAGATTAGGCAGCTAGCTAAAAGCTGCAAGCAGCTGTCTTACTTTATATCAGAGCAATACCTGCAACAGGGGTGACTCAACGAAATGGGGACATAGGGTTTAGTAACCCATATTTATATCAAAGCTTTAGTAACGTTATGCAATCCAAATCCACAACATAAAATATACAGTGTTATATTAATTGTATCAATATTTAATAATATAAAAATAAAAGTTTTTTTCCACAGGCTGGTCAAGCTATAGAAGGGCCAATAGCTGCCCTCTTTGCCACCGGAGAGCATTGAACAACACTTCAGGAATTTGGAGTTATCATAAATGTTAACATGCTAACATTTGCCGTTTAACTTTTAGCAACTAAATGATAGCAACATTAGCCACCTGTCATCAGTAATGTAGCAGCCTGTGGACAGTGAGTCACAACTTATTATGGACAAATGGAGAACGACACAGGTTACTGGCTGTGCAGTGTCAGGGGAACAATAGCTGAACCGAGCAGAGAATCCAGAGGTTTGTTGAACTAGATCTGAAGACCAGAGCTGAGGATCAAACGAGCTGCACACTGCAGCAGAGAAAATAGTGGTTTAAAGAGAGACTGTAGGCAATTGTGGACAAAATGACAAACTTTAACTTTTCTACTTACAAAAATGTTTTGAAAAATGTCTCATTTAGTTTAGCCAGCTGTGACTTGGCTTTGAAATTGTTTTGTGACAAAACCTGAGACAAAAACATGCATTAAAACATACACATGATCACACATCAAATCTACCTAATCCAGGAGCTACAACCCTGTCAGAACTTGCCTGCTGTAAGAAATCTTTTGTGTTTACATGTATGTATTCACGTATATAATACAAAGGGTGGGGGTGGGGTACTGCAGGGGCTGGCAGAATTTTACGTATATATGTGACTGTTGTTTTCGTTTGTTTGTTTTCTCAGCTTCAATCTGGGATTTTGCAAACATAACACTTTTTAGACATAACTAATTGTTATTCTGTTAAATTAGGACGTTATACAGGCAGGACTTTTTCTCATTTTCTTCTTATCCCTCACTTTAACGTTTTTGTTTGATTATTAGCTATTGCGACTGGCCACTACTTTAATGATAACGTAACAAGCGGTTAATGTGGCTTTTTCACAAATGTACTTTTAACTATAGCAGATAGATCCACATTAAAATTATTTGATTTGGCACAGTTTTTACACTGCATGCCCTTCTACACGTAACCCTCCCATTTATCTAGACTCTGGTCTAGGAGTGCACTAGCTTGTGACTGACTTGAGTTTGGGTTTCTGTCTTTCACTGTCTTTTACGTTTATAACTGTTTAATATGTCAAGGGTATTGAAACGAGAGCTTAACCAGCTTTTCAACATCCCTCAAAGAATTGCTCGGTTGACTATCTTGCAATTTTGGATTATGCAAATTAGCAACTTGCTATTCTCATGATGAGCTGGGGACCTATTCAGGTTATAGCCCACCTCTCAACCCTGAGATAGGCTTCATATCCTGCCCCTGCAACCCTGAGTGGAATAAGCGGTAAAGAAAACTGATGGGTGAATGATGGATTGAGGAAACATGGTGGGTGTATCACTCGTCTCTCTGGTGGAACTTTAAAGTAGAGCCTATATTTAGTATTAATTTCCTCATAATTACAAACTGATATGCAATACATTCCTTGGAATTCTGTTTTTTGTTTGTTTGTTTTTTTACATTTAAATATTAAATTAATTGAAAGTTGTCATTATATTTAAAAAAAAAACAACAAAAACAAACAAACAAAAACAAAACAATTCTGTGAACTTCATTTACCAAAATGCAAGTGAACACAGTCTGAAATGGCTCTCATGCTGTTGGCTGATTGCAACTTGGTGCAACACAGTTAACTAAAGCAGTCATTTAGCAAGTTTGGAGTGTCATTGCTTTGAAAGTGACCAATCACAGTAAGACCAGTTCCTGCTGTGGTTCCTCCCCTCTGTCATTTAACTTTAAAGGAGAGCTTGTACACTCTGCAGTGTTCTGAGACGAATGTGCTGTGTACCTGGTGGCTGTTGTGCACTTATTTCTATGTGCTGACATGAGTGAGTCTACCACCTCTTGTGAAATATTTATTTGTGACTATGTTTTAGTTATGATCTGCTTGTGACATGTGCCATAAATGTAGTTTCCTGTAATTGTGTGGGCCATGCGCAGCGTGTGAGAGGGCATGATGTTTGCAGGTTTGTACACAGAAACTTTGGACGATGTCCGAGCGTGGCAGTTTCTGCAGGAAACAATTTATGTAATAAAGAGGAAGCCATATACTGCTTGTATGTAGGCAAGCCATGCTGTAAGGATATAAAGTAATTCACTCAAACTGTACAGTAACTCAGCAATTTTGTTTTCTTGTTCCCTCTTCAGCTCTCGATCCTACAGCCGACACAGAAGAAGCAGAAGCCATGAAAATAACAAGTGGGCTCATTTCTGTCCTCTTGTATTTCAGTAATCATATAAACATGGCACTGTACTCTGTAATGATAGTAACTGTAATGATAATCCCAATAGGCACAAAGCTCCTCCCAGTGACCACCACAGAACGCACCATGAAACGGCCTCACACTCCACCTCCCGCTCCCCATCAGCGTCCAGGTCAAGACCAAAAGGTAAAAAGAGCCAGTCCAGGTCTCACAGCCCTGCCGAAGACTTCCACCCATCCCAGAAACAGTCTGTCAGGAGATCCCCATCACGCTCCTACTCTAGATCCATGTCCCGGTCACGCTCTCGCTCCAGGTCCTGGGCTGGACGCAAGTCTGGAGGGCACTGACAGACTGTTCTCCAAAGCCCTGTTTATGTTTCTCTAGAGGTTTCTGTTTAATGTTCACCTCTAGCCATTTTGGACATGCATTACTTCACATTGTTGGCTTCATTAATCTGGTTAATGATTAATTAACTGGTTAATAATGTTCTGTTATGTTCCTCCCAGGTTTTTTTGTTTTTTGTTTTTTGTTTTGTTTTTTTTTCCCCCCAGACGTACAAGCAGCAGTGACAGGAGAACCACAGTATGTGTGCACAAGATTTTTTGCTTTTGTAGCTACAAGCATTATCAGTATTGACTCTAGCGTGTATAACATTTGGTTCCCTGCTCTTGCTGCTGAGAACTGCACCAATTCCCTCCCACACAGAGAGAAGGCTACCTTCTGGATTGGGAAAGTTCGTAACAGAAGAATACCTTAAAGTTGTAAATTTTAAAAAAAAAAGATTGGATATAAGCTACTACTGTAGTGAGCTATGGAACTCATGCAGAGCAATGATTTTGTGCGTCACTATCTATCAATGTAACTGCATGCACTCAAAGTTGAATGCTTCAAGGTCCGACTGTGTTAAGAACTGCTGTTGTGACCTTTATGAAGAGACCAGGGTGCAAGTAGACATGTTAAAAGGTTGTATTTATAGAAAGGTGTGCATGTGTGAAAGGAGTCTTGTGCTTCCTGCTTTCATTTCTTATTTTAATACGGAGGAATCTCTTGCCAAAGGTAAATAAACAATTTTGTTATGTTTGTAAGAAAAGCACATTTGGCTCCTGCTTTCTTTTTTCTTTTTTTTGTGTACATGTGTTAAATTAAACTGAAGGCCTGCTTTGCCAGTATTCACAACATGCCCTGGTCTGGTTTAATTTCAGCAGGCCAACTTGTATACTATAGTTATTGTAATTGCTGTGACAATGAAAGATATGCTGATATAGCTGGTACCCAGAGTCATTTTGTTATGTAATAATATACTAAAGATAAGAATCAATTGTTTTTCGTGTCCCTAAGTAACTCCCTTGTTTAAACTGTTATACCTGATATCTTTTGACAATAAATACATTCTTACACTGCTCTAGTTGAACAAGCTGTGTTGTAAAGGTAGTGTCAAACAAGTGTTACTATATCAAGTCAAAAATACTCAAACACAAAGTAGGGGGGTAGGGGAGGGGATTTAATTTTTTGTTTGAGGTTTTTTTTTTTTTCGTTCAAGTTTTTCATCAATTCAAAGAGTGCTTTCTTGTTTTACATTTTGTAACAAATTAACACCAATTGTAAACAGGGCACATTTCATTGTTCTTGGTGACATTTCATCCGAGGGACAAATTAAAAAGCCAATTCACTGATTAAAATTTTGAATATGGAGACTGCCATGCATGATTTAGTCTGGGCAAGAAAAAAAGGTTTACATGAACCAAGAAAAGGCAGTAATTAAAATAATAGACATTTTCAATTGTCAGCAGGCGGAAGAACAGCCAAGAACTGAAAATGTCTGGAAAATATTTGGTCAACTTGGGAATTTCCACCAATGATTATGGTCAGTTTCAGTATGAGTTTTAACTTAGGCACAGTTTTTCTTTTTTGTAAAAAATAAAACAAAATAAAAAAGTGCTATGCTTACACACCATTGTAAGCACATTCACAACTCAAATCTATACATATGCAAGTCTCCTAGAGTCCAATTGGGAGTTTTTTTTTCTATTTTACTTGTTTTTCCCATTTAGCATCTTTCAACCTACACTGCACAATACACAATAAAAAATGTGCAATAACTCTGGAAAGATCAGAGTATAGGGGTACTGATAGATGCTATAGGCAGCTTTTTTTTTTTTTAACAAAAATATTCTTCAGTATTGAAGTCAAGACATGACCTTAGCATGTCTCATACATTCAGTGTTATTACTAAAAATACTTTTGTCAAACAGGCCACAAACTTGGCCTGCAAATGTACATATGCTACAAGTGTTTTATACAGTTCATTATTTACATGGCTCTTGAACTCACAAGCTTTCATACTTTGTTTTGTCATCTTTAAGCTGGCCATGAATGGCTCCAATTCTGCAAAGGGAAAGCAAAGAGCCTCAACAGAGAACTGAAAGAGAATCCATAGAAGATAGTCAATTACGCCTCCGTTAATTGAACAGCATCCTGGCCTGTAACTTATGAAAAAAAGAAAACAGTCTGATTGCAGTGCAGAAGGTTAAGGGACAGAAGTGCAAGAGACAACAGGCAGCAAGTGTCTGTTGATTATGGGGTAGTTAACCATTGAGACTTAATTTGTAAACACAAACACCAGCCTCCTGTCTCACATTGAGGCGCTTGGGCCTCTTCAGAAACATTCCTTAGCTCTGTCTCGCCTTGTGCACAAAAGCATACAGCCAACAGGGCCAGGCAATGTGGGGTTTTTTTGAGAAAACAAAACTCAGTAGTCCCACATTTAAGCAAGGCCCCCTTCCGCATGTTGGAGCTGCAGGCACTGTCCTGAAGAGGCAGAGACTGAGGAGCAGTAACGGTACTGATCAGAACAGGTGATCAAGGAGACGTCAAACCATTCACTTCGAGTTGGCAAGTGGAAATGGCAACACTGCCTTCTGCCCAAATGTCCAAAAAAAGAAAAGCAAAACATTGCTTTGGTTATACACAGCACATTATACATCTTTCAACAACCACAACAGAAAGCACTTATACAAAATAATGCTATGATAAGAGTGCTGTAGACCTTGGACACACTCAACTCCAAGTGCATGTGCGCACAGCGCAGTAAAAAAGGGTACGTGAGTTGGTGGTCCAAAGCCAGTGTGCCATGGTCTCTTACTACCCTTCGTTTGAGGTTATACCATTAACCTGTAGTTACACTACAGCTCATCTCCTGTAAAATATCTTTTTTTCCCTGCAGAACTGCAGTTGAGTGCCTTCTTTAGCCAAACAATGAATGTGATATATAAACAACAGTGGGCCCTTGATTAAAAGAAATAAAATTGCTACAAATATGAACCTGCTTTAGCACCTAAAGCTTAAGGAGATAACTCCAAAGATCATTCTTCATAGAAACATAAATGAAACACCATGTCTGTCCAAAGAAGTGGACCGTAAAAGTGATGGGAATTTACCTGACTAATGTTACCATCCTTGTTTGGGGAAAAAAGCACACTCAATCTGCCTTGGCAGCCAAGATTAAAAATAACAAAACAAAACATAAGTACAAAGAATATCCAGTTTGTCATAGTCACAGAAACTCCGCTAAAGGCATCACCGACCAGCAAGGCTGCAATTCTGTAAATTTTAAATGATCAGTTTTTTTAAAATGGATGGTAAACAGGAATTGCAAAACATTGCTCCTGTCAAGCATCCACCAACTTTGAAGGTCAGCCAAAAAAAGGAGAGAAAAAGAAAAGAGCTAAAAATACTACAGAACTGAGGCGTTCCTGGTGGGTGGGTCCATGCATTGGCTTATTTTTTTTCTTTAAATGAAGAACTGGTATCACCCCCATCAGGCCTGCACCTTCAGGAGGCTCTTGAGCTGGAAGGTCATAACTTCCCTGTTGTCACAGGAGCCGATAGGGAAAGACACCCAGTGACTAGGGGGTTTGGGCAAAACACTGGGTGAAGGTGGCTCACTGAATTTAGGCCCTGCATAGCTTGGGCTGCCTTGGGTTGCCAGGAGTGTGTTGAGATGAGACACTGCACCCTCCCAGTTCTGATCATAGTTGGTGGAAAAACGGACAGAAGCATTCTTCTCTGCAGACACGGCCTGCCGTGTCTCTGGAGACCTGTGGTAGGCAGCGCCTTTCTCGCTCCGTCGGTGGCCATGGTGGTGAAGGCCCCCTGCACCCCCTACGGATGCAGCTGCTCCGTTCTGGTCACGGCTTCGCTGCTTTGCCCGGCCAAGCTGGTGGTTCTTCTTGGCCAAAGGGCGCTCAGGGTGGGTAACTGGAATGTTGTACCTCTCTCCACCTCCCATACTGCTTTTGCTCTACGTGTCACCTAAATTGTGAGAATAGTATTATTAAAAATAAACTCTGGTTATACATTTCTATTCACGCTAATAATCTATGCAATTACAGCGCAAGTTGTTGACTACCAACCGCGAGCACAGGCGCACCACATCACAATAAAAACAAGTACAGAGACTACGTGCAGAAACACCAGACAGCGAGGCTCGCCCATCCCCCACACGGACACCAGGAAAACAGCGCCAGCTCACCTCTTTGTTGTCAGAAAGTTAACCGAGTAGACGTCTCTCTTCAATCTTTCTCCTCCAATCGGGCCCCAGGTCCTCGAAGTAGTCTTCTGTCTACCTCTCGCTGCACATTTGTGTCCAGCAGGGTCTGAGGTTTTCATGTGCCAATAAGCGTTGTTTTCTCGTGAAGCCGAGCTGAACATCAATTCACCTCGGCGCACGATACTCCAAGAAGTCGCCGACCCTTCAGGGCATTAACAAAAAACGCTTATCAGATATGCTAACTTGACAGGACTTAACGTCCATTAGATATGCTAAATAGACAGGACTCAACATAACAATAGCGCTCACAGTGTTGTGACGTGTGACTGGGAACTGACGTTTTCTTCAAATATTCTATTACATAACATTGAAGTACCGACAAAATGACATTTCCTCGCCATTACATTTATAAAAACCTTGCATATAACTTGTAATCTATAGCGATTATCACACGAAAATGTTATGTAAGAAAAGTGCGACATCATAGCTCACTCCTGTTTGCTCAGGATGGGCTTAAACTGCGGCCAATTTTTCCCTTGTTCTTGTGTAGTAAATTAATAATAAAACGAAATAGTTTGTATACCCTTCATATAGGATCATTTAATTAATTAGCAAATCCAGTGGTTCAAATTCTAACGTTTTTTTTATGATCTAGGACGCTCTACTTTGGCACAGAACCAAAACAAAGAAACTCGGTTTAATATGGCGACGAGGTACAAAACTGTTTCTTACCGACTTCTTCAGGCTTGGTTGTTAAAGCCTTTCGTCAGAAAAGAATTTACAGTTAGCTTCTAAACTCCCTCTACGGACTATGTAGGAAGCACAGCAAACTATATCTCCTACAAATCCGTCACTCTCGAAGCTTATTTGGTGTTAAAGGCCGGTGAAGAGATCTTACTTCTCTCTCTCCCGACTCAGAATTGCGACAAAATGGACTCTACAGCAGCGGTATGTACTCCCTTGCAACGCAAATCTAACCAATCATAAAGCGACTACGAAATAAACAACCAATCATCGAAGAGGCAGTCGACAAGTTGCCTGTTGCCAGACTGGTGACGTTAATTGCCGACCCTCCTCTCCTTGCCTTTGTTGGAGCTCGGGTATTTCCCGAGAGAAGTGAAATAAAGAAGGAAAAAACACCACTTTCGGGCTCTGGAAGTTAACGTAATAGACAGGAAATACCCGAGATGGCACGTAAAACATTACATAAAGGTTTAGAGTGAGCATAGAGGCAGTTAAGTGTTATGTAACACCAAGACACCAAGCATGTCCGCTACCCCTTCGGTTAGGTTGTAAACACGTCCAGTGTTTAGATTTACTGAGGTTTGTGCCACAGGAAACTGTTTTGGTTTGTTTTATCACATTTCTTGCTTTTTCAGGTTAACCCCTTTTATGCCCACTTGACACAGCAGCAACAGGCTGTAATAACAATGTCTATGAGCAGTTGTCCATCCCAAAAGTGTTTTGTTTTATTTAAATTCAATGGGTGGAGGTCTTAATAAGGGTTGGGGGGCTATATTACATATATTACCCTGTTTGTCCCTTTGATGTTGGTCTCACTTTTCCTCCCAATCTTTTCAAAGGACTTTGAGGTTTGACTTCCATGGCAGTCTTCCAGTAGGTTTTATGAGCGCAGGCAGGGCTAAGTGTCATCGCTCTGTGTCATCGAGGCCTTGCCTTCTTTTCTCGCCTGGATTTTTAAAGAGTTGCACAACGCTGCTGAAGGCTGAAGGCCATGGCAAGGCAGGACACTCCCCAAAGCAAAGTAATCTCTGAAATGGGGCTGTGCCAATCAAGAGTCAGCTATGTAGGTCACCCAGAGACTGGGTAGGTCGCTAGAAACACATGGGGGGGTGGAAAGGACTACTCGCCATATTTGACTGGCTGCAGAAGCCAAGTAGTGTCAACACGTCACACAGATAGTGTACAATTGGAAAGTTGGATGGAAACTTTTTTCCTCACACAGAGAAAAAGAACAAAATTACAGATTATCTATTGGCCTGATTGTTTACGGAGTCCTGTTGGCCTACAAACAAGTGATTGAAGTTATGAATATGAACTTGAATGGTGCAAAATGTATGTCATATGCCCACACAAAGGGAAGTGGGGAAAGTACAGAAGCAGTTTCACACAGCTCAGCAATAAGTTCAACACATATAAAGAAAATCTGCACACTCAGTAAACATATTCAAATTAAACCTTGTACATTAGTTACTTAACAAAGAAACTTAATATGCTATAAAAGTAACACATAATTTACAGAATTTAAATATTAAAATGAAACCCATGGTGAAATTGATCTATAAGTGGGTTTGGGTAAAACAGGCACATTAAATTGGAGGTCCTTCTCATCCCTACTGTTATTTAAGATTTATTTAGTTAGCACCACAGTGCGCAGATGAAGTTGGTACACTCAGATAACACTTTTTTTTTTTTTGAAGATGTGCCAGCCGCAGATGGTTTTCTGTGAAAAATGCCCACAGAGCATATTTGGAATGAACCACTGAAACCAAACAGGAAAAAATACCATTTCAGATGAAAAAGTTATTGTTGACGTGTAGTTGACAGAACTATTTTCATATATATATATATATATATATATATATATATATATATTTTTTTTTTTAATTATTATTATTTTTTTTTTTAATGTGACTTTTAACAGACCACTGATTTACAAAACAGATGAGAAATAATGGCAGTTTTCAACAACATTTCTCAGGTTTCCCAGTTTCCGTCATTACATGAGCAAAGGCTCAATTCACTTGTATTATTTTACAGCTTTATGAATCTAACAAGCTGTTTAAATTACAAATACATTTAACTCCTTATTTGTTTCGACTAATGCTGGCATCACCACACCAGAAATAGCAGTGCATGATTTCTGAATTATTAATGACTTCCTTGCAATCACGGGTATGGGTTTCATTTTACTTTTTGGGGGCAGGGACACCAAGTGCAGGTTATCATCCAATAATTAGAATTTTCTGCATCTGCATGCATGTGTATGGCAGGTGTCATTTTTATTCACTATTTTAATAGAAAATATCTATTATTCTCATTTAAAGTATTTAAGTGCTTATGCATATGCTTAGATGGAGTATGTGTATGTGTCAGCATGACCTTTTGAAAACTGCTTAGCTTTGCTTAACGACGTTTCACTATGTTATCTGCTAACTGTTAGGGCGTAGAAGGACTAAACTCCCAAGATGACCAGTGCCAGGAGCTTCCTGGGAATAGATAGTGGGAGTTGTTTTCTGCCCAGAAACAGCCCATTGGACAGAAACCTGTTGTAACTGGGAAGATACCGAGAGTTGTTTGTGAAGGTATAAAAGAGGAGCTGAGACACCCCAAGGGCAGAGCGCTCGTAACTCAGACCTGTGATGTTTTGATGTGTGTGTTCACTCTCCTGCATGCATGCAGTAATAAAATAGCTTGACCACAGCTGACAGTGTTGCAGACCTTTTTTTTTTTTTTACAGAAAATTCCACAACACTACAAATGAGTCATCCAAGTTTTATGAACTCAGATTTTCATATTACAAATGACCTCTTGTATTCATGCAATGCAAGACCTTGTGTGCAGCAAAGCTAACATAAGCTGAGGGGCGTTGAGCCTGATGACCTACCCACTGCAGTGACCCAATTTAAATAGATAACACAAATCAATACATATATGTAGTCCTAATCCTATACTATGATAAGGTATGCTATTCCCAGGCGCTTTGTTACCTGTGACTGACGGAGTGGGATCCTGGTTATAGGCTGGCCTTGTATCGTCTCGTTCAGCTGTGCACTAACTTGCTCAGGAGTTATTCTTTCTTATAAAATTTGCTGCTGAACTGACTCGGTTAGTGGTGGGTAAGGGCCCAACAGGAAACTTCTGCACGTTTCAGCATGACTGCAGTTAAAAGACTGTTGAGTGTGACTGTTGGCACAGAAGAGGTCAGAGGCCTCAGACCTGAGAGCAGAGCTGTGTTTTTAATTCTCTTGTTGAGAAACAAATAGAACTTACGCAGTTGTGGGTTGTGGGAAGTCTGGTCAACGCTACAGGATGTGGCTGTGACCTATTAAAATATATATTCTCTTTACAGATAAACAGATATCTCTGTGAACTCCATCGAGGTTCCTGCGGCATTCATAATTCTCATGTTGAATTAAAAATTGTAGCTATCACTTTTCATATTTCGTATTCCCTCAAAAAGAACCCTGATCATGTCCCAGTTGAAGTGAAAGTAAACAACGCTCTAGATTGTCTGTTAAATTTCAATTTTTAAGCAAGTGAATATCCTTGTCCTTGTCATAATTAATTGATATCTTTCTCTCACTCAGTTATTGCAATAAACATACAGTTAGGTCCATACATTTTTAGACAGTTGCACTTTTTTTTTTGTAATTTTGTCACAGTACACCAGCACAGTAAATTTCAAATCGAACCGTCAAAATGTGATTGAAGAGCACAGTTTAATCTTTAATTTATGATGTATTTTAAGAAGTACAGCCATTTTTATACAGGTGTGAAAAAGATTGTTTTGAACAACAAAGATTAAAATGAACTTGTATCAGAATGATGACAAGATAAAAGTATGGTGAAAGAAAGGAACAGCTCATGATCTGTCTGTGAAATATGTTATATGTAGGCATGTGTGGCTACCGGTGGAACTGGGCCACTAGTATTTATTGATGTGACTGAGGTGCACAGGGTTATACTCTCTGCTCAGATCAACCAAATGCTGCAAAAGTAGTCAAAATGTGCTTCACAGTACAAATGAATAACGACCCAAAACACTCTGCAAAAGCAAACCAAGAGTACATAAAGACATAAAGAACATAAAGAAATTGGGCAATCTTGAATGGCCAAGTTAGTCACGTGATCTTGAACCTAATGACGCATGCTCCTCGGTTACTATAAAGATGTTATAAGTTGCCTTAATTTCTAATATGAAGGCAGAGAGACCCATAAACAAGCTGCAACTAAGAGGAAACAATTGGTGATATGCACAATTTCCAGGGGCACAGACACAAACAGTGGCAAAATTACAAAACTGTATTATTGTCCAAAACATTATGAACCTGAATGTAACTCTCTGCATGTCCTCCTTCATTACATATATCCGTGAATCTTCCTTTTTTACTCCTGCCTGGCAGCTCCATTTTCAACCCACTTCGCTGTCCCTCCTCTGTACATGTCCAAACCGTGTCAAACCTGAGCTGTCCCTCTGATGAATTCATTAATAATCCCATCCATCCTGGTCACTCCCACTGAAGGTCTCAGCATCTTCAGCTCTGCCACCTCCATCTTCAAATCGTCCCCAAACCATACATCACCTGCTGCTATCCTTCTGTCACAAATCCCCCCTGGACACACGTCTCCACCCACTCCACCCCGTTTCCCATGACGATGTAATTGAAAGCTATTTGAGTCAGAGATTTAGATTTATCTGTGTGCTTTTGCAATTTTCATTTGGTGCGTTTCATTTCCATATTTAGAAGTCAAGCCTTTCATTTAACAAAAACAAAGTAAACAATTAAGCATGATTAAAGAATTAAGCATCCAAGTAATTAGATTTTTTGCCTGATCATTTTTTCCTGTGTTCTTCATGTCAGTGAACTGATACTGCTCCCTGAGGGTCTGGCAATCTGGAAATGAGGAGCGGAAATTTGATTAATGGATTTAATCCAAATCTGTCTGAAGCAGCAGAGCTGGCCCTGATGTTTGTGTCCAAGGCAATTTCTAAAAATGGATTGTGTAACAGGATGATGCAGTTCAACAGATAATTGAACATTTCAGCTTTTAGTCTGCCCTGTTGTCTGTCGTGTTTATGCTGCACCTGGACAGACAGTGAGCGGGTAGAAATCTTATTGAAGCTGTGCTGCCTGCTCCTAATCACATTTCCTGCTTTCTGTCCTGCTGACTTTATCAGG